CAAGGCCTTCCGTGTCGACTTTTGGGATGGAGATCCGGACGACCCAAAGAACTGGTCAACGGCATACCGTGTGCTCGTCGTCGCCATGTTTGCCCTGACCACACTGGCTACGGGCATCTACTCGACGGCCTACTCCAGTGGCATCACTCAGATGAGCCAAGAGCTCAACGTCACCAACCCTTCACTACCTCTCCTCGGTATCTCTCTTTACCTTGTCGGTCTCGCCCTCGGTGCCCTCATCATGGCACCTTTGAGTGAGACGTTTGGCCGAAGACCAATGTACATTGGCGGCCTCACAGTATTCTTGGGACTGATCCCTCTCGCCGCACTGGCAACCAACTTTACAATGGTCATCGTGGCACGCTTCTTAGGGTAAGTCACCTTCACATAGGTCCTTTATTTATAAGATCAGTTGCTCACATGGACTCTAGTGCTGTCGCCGGAAGTGTCATGCTTTCCAACGTTGGTGGCTCGATCATGGACATTACCAACCCCAAATACCTGCCGCTGGCTATGTCAGTGTACTCATTTGGACCCCTCAACGGTCCCGTTCTCGGGCCCCTCATGGTAAGCTTGACTGATCACAAGCACCCAAAGCAGATTACTAACATTGAACGGTAGGGTGGATTCCTCGTCGAAGCATTCGGCTGGAGATCGCTCAACTGGATGTCATTGATCTCAACGGCAGTCGGAGCTCTCTTCATCATGACCGTCCCAGAGACTTATCGGCCAACGCTTCTGAGAAAGAAGGCTGCTGCAAAGCGACAAGAAGAAGAAGATCACAGATACTGGTCCGACTTTGACGACACCGTCCCCATTTTCCGCAGAATCAGGACGGCCGTGTCCCGTCCCTTCATCCTATCATTCACCGAGCCCGTGCTCATGTTCTGGAACATTTACATTTCCGTCATTTACGCCATCGTCCAGTTGGCCTACGTCGCATTCCCTATTGTCTACACCACCGAGCGCGGCTGGAGTGTCGCCATCTCCGGTCTCGCCTTCCTTGGCGTCTTTGTCGGCATCGCGCTCGTCCTAGCCACCGAGCCGCTCCTCAGAAAGCTGGTCAACCGCCAGCCCAAGAACCCGGAGACTGGCCAACAGGAGCCCGAGGCCGTCGTCCTCCTCATTTGCATCGGCGCAGTCCTCGAGCCAGTCGGCCAGCTCTCCTTCGCACTCACTTCCCTACCCATCGACATCCCCTTTTACTGGAGTGTCCTGTCTGGTGTCCCCTTCGGCTACGGTTTCGGCCTCGTCTTCATTTACGGCACCAGTTACATTTCAAAGGTGTTCGGCATGTACGCGACCTCCGCGTCAGCCGGCAACCTCGTCTTCAGATCCATCCTCGGCGCCGTGTTGGTGCTCGTCGGCAAGAGCATGTACGCCGCCCTGACACCGCGCATTGCGGGCATTACGGTCGGTGTCGCCGAGGTTGTGCTCATGCCCGTCCCCTTTATCTTTTACAAGTGGGGCAAAAAGATTCGGCAGAGAAGCAAACTTATTCAAACTTTGGAGGAGCAAGCGAAGAAGATGTCTTAATTTTATTATCCCCTCTGTACTTCGGAAACCGGAAAGATACCCCCCTTTTCCTATGTCGAATACTGTACTGTGAACCAGTCACCAGTCACATTCTTGTCAAATAGCCTTTATTTATCAAACATCTGTACTTAGAACCTCGAGCGATCAAAATGTGTAGAAAATAGATAGAATCATCATCATCATCATTATCCAAAAGTCCAACATTGCCTCCCATCTTCTATCTCATTTCTCGTACGAGTACATGTAGTAGTTATTGCGTCCTGAGACTGCACATGCAGTCATGAGATCTGCACTCATTGCAAACTTGTAAATGTACATGTGATTTCCCTATGCCGAGCAAAGTTGCAGCCGCTCCTTCCAACACATTTTGACCCACTGATTTTGCGTATATCGACATGACTCTTCTGTAGGGGACAAACTACTTGCAGGGCTCGCAGTGTTTGTCACACCACCCGTCCAAACATTTTCCCGCAGCATCTTAAGCGCCACTGAGATGTTGAGAAGCTTCTGCTTGTCGATAATTTTCTCAAACAGGTCTTCCACCTCATACCGCCGTGCGCTCACCGCCATGCTTTCGCAGCCGAGGACAAACACGGGCCAGACCATCATGGTCGCCGCGTGTGTGTCAAGCGGGACGGCGGCAACGGCGTCAGACAGCTGCTCTACCAAAGACAAGGGATGCTTTGTAGGACGTTCGGCTGCCAACGTGCTCGAGTCACCCTCGTCCGCGCGGAGCAGGAAGATTTGTGTTGCGAGGCTGTGGGCACGGGCAGCTGCGATACAGGCATTGGCATCGCGGATTTTGAGACTCGTTGGCGGAGCCGATGGATCGGTATTTGGATCTGGCTGATGTTGAGGAGGTGGAAGATCTCGGCAAGCCGATTCAAGGCTATCTAGGAGGTGACAACGAGAAGAGACAAAGTCCTCGGGCGTAGTCGAGGTTTGAAAGAAGTCATCAACCAGAGAGGCTGCTGCCCCAATCACTGGCAAGATGTGCATCGAGTAGCCGAAAACGATGTCTGGACCATTGGCAAAAGAGCAGTCTTGGCACTTTGGCATGATGAGATCTTGCCAGGACTGCTGGTCAAAGACTGGGTGTGTTGCGCAAGGTACGCAGCAGAACGTATCGATGTAAGCCATCATTTTGACGTTTACTGCCATCATCGGCGTGTCCTTTTCGATTGGCCAACTTGCGGCCACTCTTTGTCGTAAATTTTGTCTTTCTTGCATTTGTGCTTTAAGGCCTCGAAGAAGAGGGATGATTGACGGTGTATGCGACCCCTGCATGATTTCCATGCCAACGAGCGCTGCTGATGCTGCAATTGCCTCTTCACTTAAGTATACTGGAAATGACGTCTGAAACTGGGGGTTCGAGATGGTTCTAGGCTGCTTTACGCAGGCCACCATTGTAGAGAGTGCTCTTTGTTTCCTCTCGAGAGTTTCTGCATGTTTGAGCTTCCCCAGTGCGTAAAGATGAGCAGACCCGGCTGCCAGAACCGCCGGAAGAAGGATGGAATTTTCCTTCCAGACAAAGGCAAGATATGGCTGTCTTATGGTAGCGTATTCTTCAGGGTTGGGATACACAAGATCCGGCAAAGAGTCGGCCCAGTGTCTGAATATGAAGGCATCTGACGCATTGTGAAGTTTCGGGCCCACTGAGAGACTGCGTGCTACGGATGTCGGGGGGATAACTCTTTTCCTACACGCGGCCGACTTTTTTGATGGACAAATCGTCAAAGAACTCCGCGGCTTGATGACGCTCTTGCTTGCAGATTGGTTATCCGGGCTGATATCGCTGATCTCAACCCATTTCAGATGTATCTGGTATCCGACACACTCAACACCACGACGCTCGCACTGCTTGCAGAACGGGCGCGCCTCGTCGCACTTGATACGGGCTGTTCGGCATGTCCCGCATCCTGTGTCAAGAGCAGAGAAAAGTTAGATCCTACGCCAAGAGACGGTAGAAAGAGCCAAGCGCGATGAGACTTCGACGCGATTATCGGCCTCGTCGAGTGTGGGTTGACGAACCGTTGCGAGAGCGTCTGTGAGCTTGAGCAGCCATTGAAATCCGCCCGGCATTGGCCGAGTTTGTGATGTGAGGTGTGGTTTTGTGCTACGTGTGATGTTGATACAAACTTCCCTCCCCCCGACAAAGTTGCATGTGATCTCAGTACGTGATTTCCGGTGGGATGAGATGATACAGGTCGTTGAACTCAATCTGAGTAGTTTGTGCTGATGCAGAATTGTAGATGAGAAGAGAAACGCGACTGGACCTGGCCAGATTAGGAAAAAAACGACTCCTTACTCGCCAAGATGGCGAGGTGTCTTGGTTTTATGTGCTCCGCTTTCATCCGGTTCCGACGACAAAGCGGCAAGTGGAGTCCGCTATCAGGTTGTAACCAATAGCAACCGCGTAACCGAGTCAGCAAAGTCGTTGATGTTGTCAGTAAAACATAACCATGACCTTGAAAAGTTGGTGACATCTTTCTTGGCTTGTGCTGAGTTGACTTTTCTGTACGGAGTATTTTTGGTTACATTCCCTAGCTGTGGTCTCAGTTTGTCCCGAGTCCTTGGGTTTTGTCACGATACAGTCTAGACCTTGCCAAGCTTCTATCCACATGACCGGGGCACATTTGGTACCCTAGAGATCTAGATTTCCTAATACAGCATGGGAAGGTCAGACCTGGTCAGGGTGGGTTTTTACCGACTACGGAGCGGATTCGAGAGATCGATACGTTCATGAGGACTTGAACGGGCCATCAACGTTGCAAATAAGACGTTGTTTTTAGAGAGTTCAAATCTCAGTAATACGTGTTGCCTCGTGGATTCATTGAGGAATGAGGGGGCGCTTACATTTTGACCTAAGAAATTAGCGGTATCTGCTAGAGCACTATTTCGCCCCACAAAGGATGCCTGGCACGAGCTTCCGTTGTGGCATCAAATCATCAAGTTCAAAGATATGTGATGAAATGTCATCGACGGCTAACCTAGCTACGCGAATGTAAAGGAGGTCCAGGATATGAGTTAGTACCAGGTATCTTGCTTGAGATGACATTGCCTTTTACAGCGTGTGCTAGTATTCTCAGACTAGTAGCGTAATTCGTAAACTGCAACCACCAAGGTGAATCAGATGCTGACTCCTGGGCAAATGCAAAGTTGTGACATTTCTCTGGTTTGTGATGATATTTGCCAATCAGAATCATTCCATTTGATAGTAGCAACTCGCAGGGGAATCCTGCAAAGCGACTGCATTGGACATGAATCCCATGAGAGTGCTGACATGTCAGACTAAAATCTGACAGGCTGATTATAGATGTTAAGATTGGTTAGACCTGGAGTCCCTTGGACTACACCATGCTGATCCATATCATTATCATCGCAGTACTTATTATTATCAACCCCCGCAATGAACAAGTCATCCTTGGTCACGTATCCTCCATCGACATTTCTCAGCCTCCATCATGGACCGCGCAAATCTCATTGCAACACTCGCTGCAGCAAAACAAACCCTCAAACGACCTATCGTCACCCTTGCAAATTGCGACAACGCATGGCTCATCTCCATTCCCCGGCCTACTGGAGCGACGGGTAAAAAGGTCTTTTACCACATTCTACAAGACCCATGGCTCTTTGGCGTGAATGATGTCATCATCAGCTACTTCTTGCGGCTGTCACTCAAGGAAAAGTCGGCACTGGAAACAATTGAAGCCTGCGAAGATCTGGTTCGAGAGATTGAGGAGGCCGCGGGAGGCTCAAAGGAGGACGGCGAGTGCTGGCTCGATGCAGTGACCGTCACCCATACCAACACGGATCACCTGCATCAACCAACTCTGCGAACCTTTGATCCATCACTCAAAGTCTTTGCCGTGGAGGACGCCGCCGCAACGATCTCTGCCATGAAGCACTTTGACAATGTCTACGTTCTTCCGGACTTTGTACGCAACCAGGCATGGCCGACAACGCCAGAGATGCCCCAGTGGTTGTCCATCTTCCGGCTCGAGGACGAGACCAAGCAGTACCCCAACCTCTACCATGCCATCGTCATCAAAATTGCAGCTGCGAATGGAAAAGACGAAGTCATATTGTACAGCCCTCACGGAGTAGACCCCGGTATCGTGGAAGCCGCCATGGACATGAACCCCGACGCCAAGGTCATTGCGATGACGCATCCGATTAACGAGGCTGGTGTTGGACTCAAGTCCAAGGGGGTAGCCAATGCTCTGAAAATCCAGCGGAAACATTCACCAAAGTACTGGATTCACTGCCAGGAAGGAATCCAGTACACAGGATTCTTGACGTGGTTCTTCGACTATGGAGACAAGACTTTGGAAATAGGCCTAGAGGAAGAAGCCAAAGAAACCGAAGAGGAGCTACCTAGGCCCAACTACGTGACGATTTCGAACGGCGCAGGATTCGTTCTGGCATGAACGGGGCTGTGGGAATAATATAGGCACCGTTGGTATTTGAAGCTTCACCACGCAATCAACCAATTTGTATCTGCATTCCAAAATATGTCAATCGAAGCATAAGTGACTTGAAAAGTAAATGCATAATAAGAAAAAGCAGAACCAGCTCCACGAAAGCCATGAAAGCAAAAAGAACTCCTCGACGGGGAATTGAACCCCGGTCCCCTGCGAATCGTTGAATCTTCAATGACAAGCAGATATCCTCACCACTAGACTATCGGGGATAGGTGGATGTTGACATCCAGTGATAGTTGGTTGAACAGGGAAGCGCCTAGGTGGCTTATATCCCATTCGACCCTCTTAGTGGGGCAGAGGTGCCAGAAGTGCTCAGCCAACATCAACTGAGAGCCCGAAATTACCATCAATAGAGCTAGAAATGCAGTATGATCAGAAGAATATGTAAATCTCTCCAATTGTTTATGAGAAGAGCAGCGCGACCACGAGCATTTGCCATAGCTACTGTTGAGTTTGTCTGGCGACGATCTCTACACCTGGGCAGCGCACGCTAAGGTACTGCGCTGCCCTCCCCTAATGATCTCGTGAGGAGTCGGCAGTGTCCATCTGTAATTCACCCTCGGTGGCATGATTGGAACCAGGTCAAGACACATACAACAGATGACAACATACAAGGATCGCCGGCAGGATTGTGACTGCGTGAGCGGAACGGCGGGAGAGACGCAGCAGCCCTACCTGTGGCACAGTCAATGGCCTTTTGTCCTCATTGGAGAAGTGTTGGCGCCGGTACTGAAGCCACGGCAGTGGCGCAAGCTCACTAACAAGAAGTCATCTCAGTGAAGAGCGCTAAATCAAAGAGAAGCCCAAGTGCTGACTGTGTCACGACAGATCTGCACTCAAGTTCCCCTGACATCATTTGGCATTCCCAGCCTTGAACATAGCCGCTTCGAAACTTGGCTGCCTAATGGGGGGGCAAATAAGCATTTCGCTAATTCATAAGCGCGGTAACAGCCGCCATAGGGTGAAGTTCAACGCCATGGACTCTCGAGACATTCGATCAAGCATCACACCATCATGAGCACATCAGACGCCAACAGCATCAATTCAGAATGTCACCAGCTGCAAGCCGCTTTGTCGCCGGCCACCGCAGCTTTACGTGACTTCATCGCGGCCCATCCTGAAGCCGAAGCACAGCTCTCACCCGTGCTAGAACAAGTCCTCTTACTATCCGACAGCATCGTCGCACTTCGACGCAATGTAGCGAGTTGCGAAGGAGATGACCAGCTCTTGAACGAAGCCCGACACGTCCCGGAATTCTGCACAGAGGTTGTCGGCCAAATCGTAGGGTCTCTCTCCGACGCAGTACCTGAGAAATCCCGATGGTCGCTGTCTCGGCGTGGTGACGATGCGTGGAGGAGCGCAGCCAGTCGCGCCACAGCCCTTGGCTCACATTTGACCACGGGGAGGAGGACAATGAGTCTGGCTGTTGATGCATTAGAACTGTAAGCTTTCCTACTCAATTGTTTCTGAGAAATTTGTGAGATACTGAGACTTGGCTTCAGGGTCCAGCATCTTCACAGAGCAGAAGAAGCCGGCGAGTCACCTCCGTATGCTACCAGCTCAATCCTCCAGGAGATCAACTCCATCAAGGAGATTCTCAACCGCCATCCCGCATCAGACCAGAGACTATCGCCCCAAAAGCTTGCCGGCTTCCTCAACTTCCTTCGGACCTTCATCGACAGCCAGTCGACTACGGTTCCGGCATCAGACATGGCAAGACTGTCCGTCACCGCCGATAACGCCGGCTCTTCAACCTACTCCATGTCCGCCGCACCAAGCGTAGATGGGGACGTAAACCCATACCCGACCCTCCTCGTGCCAGCTCCCGCCCACGCCACATTCCGTCACGTCGGCAAGATCACGATGAACCTGGAAAAAGAACCCGTCGACATCCGCTTCACCTCCGCAACAGACCCGACGTCCTTTGCCGTCTCCAACTTCTTCAAAGACATCAGCCTCTTCGACGCCGCCTCTGGAGAGCGCAGGCGCACCATCAAAGTAAAAGGCGTGAACATGGTCTTCTCCCCGCTGATGGACCTCGTCGCCGTAACGACGGAGCACCACGATGAATACGTCAACAGGTTCCCCAAACCGTTACTGACTTCGCACGACATGGTCCATTTCGAGAGGCCGGCTCTATACGTCGTCGAATGGGTCAACGACAACAGCCCCAACGCGCGCAAGTTCTTCCTGCAGTGGCACGGCATCCGAGCATTTTCCTTCAGCCCCGACGGCCAGCTTCTGGCAATCAAGGGAGTACGCAATCGCGTTGAGATTGTCACAGCCGCCAAAGGACAGGGGTATAGTGTCGTCCGCAGCCACACTGATGAGGTCACGCACGCGGAGTGGACGGCGGATTGCACCAGGCTCGTCACCGCGTCCAAGGATGGGACGCTAAGGATCACGAATGTCGAGACTGGCCGGAACATTGCCAAGATCGAGATGGAAGACTGGAGGAATCCACTACAGCTTGCAGTGAGCCCAGCGGGAGTGATTGCATCGATTTGGGGCAGGACGGTGACGATTTGGGACCCAGAGAGCGGCGCGATGAATAGTTACAATCTTGAGACCGCAAAGGGCAGCGAGGGCGTCCCGTTGGCGATCTCACCTGACCTACGATGGGTTGTTTATCGTTCAGACGATGGCGCTGATGCCACCGACCTGGCGACTGGAAAGATAGTCTACTCGGCGAGGTTGGAGTCAGGGTTCGCTGTCTCGGCTGCCTTCGCTGGGAACGGGCAGTACATGGTCGTCGGGCGTTGTTTGCATGGACATCATGCCAGAAACGATTCCGGCATTCTCAACGTGTGGGAGATTCAGGCTTGACGCGATTTACGAGTAAACGAGATACCATTAGTCCTACGAAGTTGAGGTCAGTCATGTGGGCAGCATCGCCGAGGACACACAAGCAAACTTGTATTTTATGCGTAGCTTTACAAAGACAACGTTCATCTGCAGTATAGACATGCGTTCTTCGTAAATATCAGAACCTTTGCAAAGCCATCGCCAGTCTCACGGCAAGTTGTCCAAGACCCATACCATAGTCTAACATGAGAGAAGGGATCGATAACGGCACCAGTGCACTACCAATTCTTACCACCAGGATAGAAGTCGGCATCGGCATCGTCGCGCTTCCAGGGCTTCCCGCCTGGGAAGCCACCAGTGTCCTCAACGACGGCATCGTCGGCTATCTATACGTTGATTACATGTTAGATCTAGGCACTATGAACTCGAATGACGACGAAGTGGGAAACGGACCGGCGCGGCCATGGCCAATGATACAATAGTGGCAAGGACAAGCAAGTTAAACTTCGTTTTGACGGCTTCGATGTAGCAAAGTAGAGTGAGATGGTTGCGGTGAGCGGGTAAGTTGCTCGGATGGTTGAAGAAGATGATGCGAAATTCGGTGACAGAGTCAGCAGGCTTTGGTAATAGCCTTCTTTTATACTCATCTCCACCAATGATTCATTTTCGGCGATACTGGAACCTTGGATGGTCTGAGGCCATCGTCAACTTCCAGGCAATGTCGAGACCGGCGGAGTTCCACCTCGGAGTCTCGACGACCAAATAGCTCACTCAGCGCCATGCATCCTCAGTTATATGACAAAGTCACCTTCCAGATACGGATGCCCTTGAATTACTGAGCACAATATAAGCTTCTCGAGTCGGCTCAACCCGACGCTCCTGCGGGTTACATTCGTCTTTGTGTTGCGGCCTCGACAAGTAGACTCCCTTTCAAAACGAGATAGGAACATACAAATGCCGCAGAAAGGTATTCCAGTTCGGCAAAACATGCTGCATATGCTTATTCAGGCTCACTAGCTTGCATGGAATTAAAAGTAATCGAGATAGTAGTGAAGACTAGGACTACGCCTCCGTCTTCAGGGGCTTCTGTCCCCAGACTGCTCTTTGGCGGTAGTACCCGTGAAGCTTGCCAGACCGGATCTCGCGACGCAGCTGCGCCGCATAGATGTGGATTTCCTCTCGAGACCAAGTCGACATGACGTTGGCCATGAAAAGGACGTAGCCCTCAATGTCCGAGAGGAGAGTCAGCTGAGCCCATTCCCCGATTTCCTTCTTCACCTCATCCTTTGGCCAGTTGCCGATGGGGGCCTATCATTCCACAGGTCAGTCTTCCATCTCATACCACAAACACGGTCATCCGTCAAAGGGCTCTCAAATACCTTGTTGTTCCACTCCGTGATGCTCTCAAAGCCGGCGTCCTGCATCGACGTCCTCTGCAAGTTCTCGTCGAGGACACGGAACGTCCGGCCCATCTTCCGGCCGCCCTCCTCGAAGAACTTGCCCCACTGACCCAGCGCGCTCGTCTCCGGGACGGTCCCGTCGTCGCTCATGATGGCGGGCGAGACCTCAAAGCTCTCGAGGTACCCGCCCGGCTTCAGGGCCCTGTACGCCTGCTTGAAAAGCGCAGGCCAGTCCGCGATACTACCGACCAAGAAACGGATGTGGACATAGTCAAAGGACTCTGGTTCGAAGGTCCATTCGCGGGTGCAGTCGTCGATTTCACTGTGTGGGGTCAGCAACGGCGTTAGATGCTGGATGTTGACGCTTGGTGTACTCACAACTTCAGGTTAGGAGGAACCCAACTAGGTTGGATTGGGGAGATGTCCGTCCCAATGACTTCGCATTCGGGGTTCTCGTCCGCAAAGTCACTATACAGAGTTCAGCCTCTTGCATCACGTACTCTTGTCGCATTTCTGAGCAGGGACTTACATGGCCCAGATACCTACGCTGGAGTTAGCCTGACTTCATGAGCCGAGAATGACATAAGCGCCGCTCACCTGTTCCTGTTCCAATATCCAGCGCTTTGTTTAGCTATGTAGGGTTTCGTTAGTTCAGGCCGATGAGCAAGCCACCGCCGATGAGCCCGTCACCTACCTTGCTTTTATCTAGCGGTGCCAAGTGAAGCTTGTCGCCCATCGATAAGGTGAGTAAGTGATGGCTACTGCGCGTCAGCTTCGACCTCTCACTTCTTGCGTCATTGGCGGTTTCCATCTCACTTGATATCCCAAGCCTCGTTCTGCTGCTCATCGTTGCTCCCCCTTTCACGACCAGTTAGCGAGAACACCCAAAACGCTCAGATCTCTCAGCCCGCGGAGTCACTACCAATACTGGGCGTCGCCAACCTCGCCGTGGAACGTCCTCCCATGAATCTTCCGGTACTGCAAAATCGTAGAGGTGATCGACGCCGTAGAGCTGGCGTTATCGTCGCCTAGCGCAGAGTCGGCATCGTCTTCGTTAGCAGCGTCCTAGCGGCCTGTCAATCATCAAAATCCCGGGCGGCCGCCGTTGAAGGGGGGGGGGGGGCATGTAGAGAAACTACACTATGCCCCCCCCGGTGGGAATGGCGTCGAACTGACTCGTGCCGCTTGCACCCAGTGCTCAGCCGGTAGAATTCCAGCCGCTGCGTTCGCCGCGGTCTCCTGCTGCGCCGTGGCCGCGGCGGCCGTCTGGTCCTCGTCTCCCTCGGGGCACATTTGTTGGATGGTATCTGGGGGGTTTGCGCTCGCGATGTGAAGCTGTACGCTACTCGTGTCGTCGCAGGGTTTCCCGTTCCTGTTCCCAGAATCCGGGTTACTGTTGCTCGAAACCCGGGAGGAAAGGGAGAAAGAGAGTGTGTGTCTGAGACTGAGAGATCGAATTGCTTGGACGGTAGCGTGAAAGGGTGGAAACTTGCCCGCCACGAGTCACGACAAAATCCCCGGTCCCTGTTCCCCTTCTTCTATGAGCTCGGAAACCCCACAGCGGGCGGGCAAAGCGCGTGGTTGTGGACGTGCGCATGCCTTGTCGCCTCCAATGCTTCGGGTGATCAGTCAAGTTTCCCTTCACCGCATCAACACATCCCCGGACGGAGAGGGGGCGGGCAGGTTGAATGTGGCCATTTCCTTCGCTTCTCCAACTCGTTGGAGTCTTGGAGAGCCATCTCCTCATCTGCCGATTGTCAGCTTCATGTCAGCTCCGCCCGAATTTTGCAGCTTTAAGCTGTGCCATGGCTCATGGTAACTTGTCAAGCGATGCGCCAAGGCCGCTGACCAAAGGTGTAGAATGCTACCATGTTCGGCCCTCATCACCAGAAACGACCGGAAGAGGGGCCGGAGATCGTCAGCGGGTAGGCCAACCAGGTGAGGACTCGCGGTATTTGCCAGTGGATCTCGCATGCAAGAACCTGCAAGGAATAATAATCGTCAATGATCAAGAACCTGGGTCTCCGCGTGCCCAAAGGTGACTGCTGCGACTTTGACAGCATGTACATGTGTTGGACGGAGTCGGCCGCCCAGGACCAGGTACGAATGGTGGCCGACAGGACCCTAGACTTCTTCAAGACAATCATCGCATTTGCTAGGCACAGATAAACAGGATATCTCTCCGGCTCTAATACGACGCATTCAGTCGCATCTCGATGTACTCGCGACTATTTATCGGCTCGTACTTCTTCGGCCTGCCGGGGCCGTAGCAGCCAGGTACGCAGTCCACCGTCTTCTCCTGATCGGCGCCGATAAAATACGGAATCGAATACCTCGCCCGGGTCACGCGGTCACCGCTCTCGTTCGTCTCGAGCGGCGGCGCTCTCACACGATGCACAGTGGACCGGAGAGTGTCGTTACTCCACCGCTGCATGAAGTCGCCAATATTGACCACGATCGTCCCAGGGATGAGTGACACGGGCAAGAACCGTCCCTCCTCGTTGGGGTCCTCCACCTCGAGGCCGCCGACCTCGTCCTGGAAGAGGAGCGTCATGGAGCCAAAGTCCGAGTGCGCTCCCAGCCGCTCGACCTTGCCGGCGCGCAGGAGCTTCTCCTCGACCGGCGGGTAATGGAGGAGGCGGATCTGGTTATCTTTCATCACATGGTAGTCCCGGAAGAACTCCTCGTCCAGGCCCATGCCGAGAGCCATGGCGCGGAGCAGGTGGAGTTCGAGCTGGTAGCAGGCCTCGTAGAAATGGTTGAAAAATGACCGAAACCCAGGGAGCGACTCCTCGGGAAGCCAGATATTGGGCAGGTGATCATCGTCCTCGCGCCCAATCTCGTATGACTCTTTGAAGTCTGGTATTTTCCTCAGCTCGCTGATTTCTTCGGCGTCAAATACCATTTGCGACACCTTTTCTCGGCCAATGCCGGAATACCCGCGATGCCACCATCCCTCGGGCGGGTGCGGCGCCTTGTCCTTCTCAGCCCGCGGAAGGGAAAAGAACTTCTCACTCTAGTCATGGAATGATCAGCAAGGTCAGCGATGATGGGATAATTTATTCCTGTAGACGAACCCACTGAAAGGCGGACTTGACAATCTTCTCGGGGATTCCATGGTTCTTCACGTAGGCAAAGCCCGATAGTCTGAAAGCATCCACCAGACTTTTGCCGGCATTCAGTGCTGCTTCAGGGTTCGTGCCGTCTTCCAGGGCGCCTAGGTCGACGAGTGGAATGTTGGACTCCCCACCCGTTCGGGCAATGGAGGCTTCCTCGACCAACGACGGTGAGCGAGGCATGACCAAATTAGCTCTATTTCATTAAGTGACAGAGTGAGAACTGCGAGAACTTAAGATGGTCCGGATCACTTTATTGTTGATCAGGCTTGTTCCCCGCCTTCTGCAGGATGACGGAATGACGTAGATCGGCGCACGAGGTTATTCACATGTGAACTGAAAACCCGTGCGTGCGTGTAGCCATCAAATTGACCAGACACGCCAGGCTGTTTCTTGATATAGATTTGTAAGTCATATGTCTTTCAATATCTACTCAATTGCTCATTCGAATCACCAATGTTCTTATTTTTATCCTACAGTTGAGCCCATGCTATCACAATTACCATCAGTGTCTACGCCGTCCCCCTGATATCCCAGAAGGGTTGACTAGCTACTCTAATATTCTAAATTTGTACAAAATTATTTTAGCTATGTAAACATGGTCATCGGCACTTTTCATGCGTCTGATACAAAGGCCTGAGGTTGATGATGGCTAGTCGTCTAGTTCATCGCCTCATCTAGCACCTAGACGCAAGGCGCTCCAAGACCGAGCCCTGCAGTAAGGTTCAGGGAAGCACTACCAAATACCGAGGTTGCCAACCAGTTTCCAACATAGTTCTCAACCTCGAGAGGCTTCTGCCACCTCGCCCAATGCCCGCCGTCGATCTCGCCACGGCTCAAGCTGTCAAAGTATGTTTCCATTCCTTCGGATAGAGACGGAGGCAGCGTGAGATCTTGGGTTGCGGCGATGTACAGCGCAGGCTGTCTGAACTTGCCGCTGTAAGTGGTATTGTCGGGAATTAGCACCCGCTCATCTTCCCAATTCAGCTTGTTGTTACGATACTCGTTGAGCGTGTGATTGATTGGCTTCCTGGTGTATTCTTCGACATAGAAGTCAATCTGCGCCTTGGTGAGAAGCGGCGTGTCTGTAGTTACGAGGTCAAGCAGATCAAAGTAGAATCCAATGTCTGTGACATTACTGGGCTGCTCGCCATTGGGGCCGATCACCCCATAGACGTTGTTCAGAATCTGTCGTATGCGCGTTGTGTTCTGAGCACCAGCCGGCCCAACATAATCCGCAATTGCGTTTGTACGGAATTGCTGTTGATACTTGAATCCAGGCCACTCGTAGGCGAGATCTACAAAGGAGGCCGTAGGAGCTGCGAAAGGCGTGTTGAGCACATAGAATGCGGCAACAAGGTCTGGGTGCCAGAGGGCGGTGCGATAGACCACTGCTCCACCAAAGTCATGTCCGCCGAGAATGATGCGAGAGAGACCAAGTTGGCCTGCGAGGGTGGCAATATCGTCTGCAGCACGCTTCCAAGTACTATGCATGTTCGTTAGATACTACAGGCTCTTACTGAATCAACCTACGGTTGACTACTTGAGGTGTCGTTACTCACTAGAACTTGACATCCTCGGGTGAATCAGTCCCGCCATATCCTATCTTATCTAAGGCGACGACGCTCAGGCCCTTGGAGAGGAGGAAGGGTATATGGTTGGCCCAGCCCAGGGCCAAATCAGGCCATCCGTGGACGAGGAAAACAGTACCAGCAGACTTTCCCGAATCGGGCTCTGCATGGATATATCTGTATTGAATACCGTTGAGATCGGCCGTTTTGAAATGAAGTCTGGAGTCGAGGGTAGCAAGAACGTCCATCTTGTGAGACTTGGTTGGTTTATTATGACTGGAGGTTGATGATGGTGAGGTCTGAACTGGAGTCGGTGATAGTGCTGGATTAAAATATTCTAATTCGTGAGAGGATGATCAATATTTATAAACTCGGTCTTTAATGACGGTGATCGACTCTCTCGCTGTAAAATCATGTAAGTTACTAATTGAGAGGTCCAATTCATAACGATGCGGCACAGTCGCCATCCCAGAGTCCGTATAAACAGGCCTTGAGCCCGCTTAGTGAGCTACTCAAATTCGTCCGAACTCCCGAGAACTCCTTGTTAGGATCTGTCATCTATAAACCCCAGCAAGATGGCATGAATTTGAAAGAAACATTGAGGTCGATTAGAAATGCGTATGAGACTGTGAGACGCATCCCCGGCGATGAGAGCAAGCCTAGATCTCTTCACAAGACTAGGTACACTCCTGAGATTTTTTATGTCGCATGATGAGAGAACTAAAAATTGTGTTCAATGTAAGCTGTAAATTCATTCCATCGATCTATCTTCATTGTTCTTCTTTCGGGTCCTCGCAAGCCGTTCACAACTTGAGCGTCTTCTTCACCGAGTTCATTTCCAACCTTGATTAGATTTGATTATTATCAGGTCGCATTGCTGTAGAGTTATCCCGACCGATGTATGGAGACTTACAAGGGCACCACTGCATATGTGCCGTGGTTGTTGCCCTTCTGCAAGGTTGTGGGCATCAAGGCCGCAGCCTCGTTTGCGCGTGTGTGCTCTCCCAGCAAAACTTTGATTAGTATAGACTCGCAAATTTTATATTACCCCGGCGGATGTGCGGTAAAATGCCTGGATGGACCGCGAGTTCTTCTCCTAGCAATGTCTTGTGCGAAACGAGTCAGGATGAAGATCCACAACCACTTTTTTGAACAGGCGGCAGTATTCCCGCAAGCAACGTACGGGGCTTTGATTAGTATTCATCTACAGATGAACCAAAATGAATTTAAGCCCCTGTATTGATTGGATTGAAACCTATCTAAACATCCATATATTCCCCCGATCATGCTCTAGGTTCCCAACAGATATCTTATGCATGGCATGTGGAAAGACCGTTTTGACAAATCACTTCAACATGCAGAGCCTCACGTTCAGAATGATAAGAACAGGAGCCAAAGACGGAGAATACTGTGCCAGCTGATTTCTTGGTGGGTTTCTCAAATCGTTAATCCGCGAAAGACTCAGCAAGCGGGATGATTATGACGTAGGTAGTATGATAACACTGCACATTTCATTGCGGGAGTGCGGTTTGTACCCATCGTACAGACTTTATCGTTCTTATCGGAGGCGCACGAAAGCCGGCCATTGGTAAGGTGTCGAAAAAGTTCAACTCTTTTTGCGTTTCAAGATGAGCCTAAGTTATACATCGCTGGTCATTACACATCAAATACGTTTTTCTTCCTCATCAGACAGCAGCAGCATCAGACCCTTATTTCCCATATGCTCGTGTCCAGTCTTGTCTCTCCAAGTCACCCCTGCTGTCCTCATCGGTCATTTCAAGAGTGTACTGTGTGTCCTTATCGCACGTTGTTGAAATGCCCCCGAAATCTCTCAACTGGACTGCATGTGGCTTTTGTGGAGAGTTGCTGGGCGATGACTGGGCGCTCGATTCATGTGAGGCATGGGAATGGTGAGACTTCCGAACCGCTGTGGTGGACTGTGCTTGTGACTTTCTTCGGTGTGTTCCGGTTTGTATTGTCGACTTGATAGTGGTGAAGAAGATTGGCAGCTTCTTGAAAAGAGGTCGGAGTGCTGGGAGGCTGCCGCAGATGATTGCTAGGTTGAGCTCGACGGATGACCATAGCACGACGTCAACGTTGTCCCCTAGAGCGGCAATCAGTATGAAGGTTATATGGCGATGCCCGGATGAACTCACAAGTAGAGTCAAATGAATTAGCGAATGAGACCAAGTATTTCAGTCGAATCATACTCGCGACGCAAGCACTGCAATCATAAGTTAACAGTTGTTTAGCCGTTTCAATGCTTGGCACGTCACTTACAAGGATCCAATAGCAAACATGCAAACCAATGCCGTTCTCTTCTTCTTTCCCAGTTGAAGCTTCATCAGTTCTGGAATAGGGATAACAATCAAGACAATATCCTCCAGGATACTACAAGCAGCGCCTCCGTAGCTGATAGCCGAAACGTTGAGGCAGCGACCCTGGATAGATCGATCCCAGATCGACTCGATCGGTAGGCATTGAAACACCATCAACAGCAGAAACATGAATCCGTGGACGAATAGAAACACCATGAAGAACTTGACTGCCAGGCGGAACTTCTGGTTGGTGAACACGCGGGAGTAGAAGCAGGCAATGGAGGCCTTGGCAAAAACTCTGGTAGATGATTAGCGATAGTCATCTTGTACCTCGGATCGCGCCTCGATGCACATACTGGACAAAGATGTAAAGCATCTGCAATACATAGAAAATCTGAGAAAGAGTGTCAGTTAGCTGCCCAAAAATTATGATGTGCCGGGCGTTGTCGTACCTGCAAAATAGTCTTGCCATTTCCCGGATCAATATCCCAATAGTGAAGTCCGAATCCCATTGCGGCATCTAATGCGCAGCTGAAGTCAGCACTGGACACGGAGTTCCTTGAGCCACGAAGGGAAGTGCATACTTGCGAAGCCAAGGCCGGACATGACTATCAAAAATGCCTGCCACCGTCAGTAAGTCAGTTGCTATGAGTGAACCATTGCCAAGAACCTTACCAAAGCGATCAGTGCCGTCCAGTCGTCCCACCACAGTCGGTTCGTGACTTGTAACCGGGCCAGGCATCGGAGAGCTACCGTGAGGATCGTGATAACGGGTAGGCCAATGGAGAAAACCTTGGAGAATCTTCTGCGGTCAGGGTAAGGATAGCCCTCACATAATCGTTGCGAGATACGGGCGGTGGCTTTAGAGTAATGTTAGTGAGAACGAAGACATTGAATAAGACCTAGACGAAACCACTCACCAACTTGGTCATCGAATTCGCAAGCTCGCTGTATGCATGCCGAGGCACGGGCTTGCAGAGGAATATTGGTGCAGACACATTCCGTCAAGCTGTCGATTGTGCAATTACCAGAATGGAAAGCATCGACGAAGCATGGCATCTAGAAGATACGCCAAGTCAGTAAGTGTAACTAGTGAATCGAAGTCATGAGGCGGTTGCGGAACAACGTGACTGAAACTGTGAGAGTAACTCACCGCACATTTTGGCGTCGTCGCGAGTAACTTTGTGATTTCAGTCGTGTTCAAGCTAGGCACCGTCGCCTGTGCCGCCGCAGCAAACAGCAGGACGATTGCGACCTGCATGATTTGCTTCATTCTCAAAAACGATGCGACGGCATGCGATGTGTGGTTGATGCCGATCGTTGCATGGGCGTACAGGTGACACGCCGGCGAAAGAGACCCCCCGTCAACGAGACCGGGCCCACGCGAGATGCGGGAGGCATCCCGTATAAGAAATGGGCATTACATGTCGGCGACCGGAGTTTCGTTCAAGAGACCATATCCACAAGACTGGATCGCCACTCAGCCGCCACTACGAAACAATGGCTTGAGATGGACGAAAGCAGCACACTTTGGGATGGCCTCGACGTCGCGGAGACATACGGGGAAGCGCCTCCAGCTCTCGTCGCTAACGTCTGGGTGACTGGACTTGCGGATTATGCATCCAGCCTGATTGCTTTGGCGAGAACGCCACGGGGCTTACTGCTCACATCACCATGTGCGGCTATCCGGCTTCTTTCAAAGCGACGGTTGACAAGTGGACGACAGCGCTTGCTTGTGGGATGACGGGGAACAACGGTGACAGGCTGCTTGCGTGCGTCCCCTGTGCTGAATTTAGAGTGCGCGTTATTCTGAGTTTCTTCTTCCAAGCGCTATCACATCAACAAATGTGACGACCGAAGATCCTCGATGTAGAAGATGAAGTTGGCTGGATCACTCAATGCGAGCCGCATCATTATCAGCCCGTTTCTTGGGATCTTGATGGCTTTCCCGCCGGTGGTATTCTTCACTGCATTGGGGCCGTTACAGTCGTGAGATGCTCACACGCTGTACCGCAATAGGCTTGGGGCGGACTTCGGGTTTCTTTGGCAGTAAAGATGGTGCTAACCAATATCAGACTTTAGAGAGCCAGGTATCTGCGGGGAGTCGGGGGACAGGGCAGAGTGAAAGGACGGGCTCGCATATTGCATGCCCAACCGAAACTCAGCTGGGCGGGCAGCTGAGCAGAACGAACAAAAGATTTGCTCAGGGGTGGCCTGATTCATGTCTATACGGATTCAATGGGACCATGAACCCCCCTCGCTTATTGATGTTTTGAACAATGGGAAGCGCAGGTTTGCGAGACTCGACCGGTTCATCCAACATGTCATCGGTCGTACCTTGCGGATGGACACAGGGGAGATGCATGAAGCAAAGAAATAAGGCTAATCGGGAGCTTTGACAACACCCCGCGGAACGCGTATAAGGTCATCCCCGGACGACTACCTTAGTCCAGCCATGAAGATATCTGGCCATGTTTTACGTTCTTCCCATTCAGAATTTGGACCGATGTCTCCCTCCAAGGCTGAGCTATCCCCCGCAAAACCAGAACCGTCCGTCTGCCCTCGTGCTCGGCGCTCCGAAGTGCATCGGATAGCTTTCCCGATTCAAGACATCCAACAGCGCAATCTCATTTAAAGCAGCCCCCGCAACAGTCATGCCAAGTTCGCGCCCGCCGTGACTGCGACGCTGGCCCCTGGCGTCCTCCTCACCTTAATCGGCCTCCCGCTCGTGTTCCCACATGACCAGCATCGTTCTCAGATTCTTTCCCGTGCGCGTACCAGGGGGACAGCCTCCACGTCCTTCCCTAATCGTTTCTTCGGCCGACGATGGTAGGCTGAGTGAACCACGAGAAGGGCGATTCTGGGACCTTGAGTGGGAAGGTTGCCATACATAGCATCACCTACATTGATCACCGTCACATAGGAAAGAAGCAGGTCACATCCGAGATGGGGAGGGTACATGACGGACAGCGACATATCTAATCAAACGCAAGGGGCGTTGCGACGCTTTCCCATGTCGCGATCAGGCGCATCGCGTCAAGCACGACATGTGAGGTTTCTTGGAACAGGTTCTTAAGGGGAATGTGCGCCCTTCCTGGGTAGAGACTGACTTTCTGACGACGGGCGTTCCTTTTTGAGTTGCTTGGTGCTGCGACCTCTGAAAGAACCAGTTCGAAAGCCTCCAATCTAATTCAAGATGCGTTGGTGTCTCCATGTCACAAACGTGCTGTTCGGCTACATCGTGGCCACGGCCTCTGCTGTGTGAGTTTAATCTACCTTGAACCTTAAGCCGCGAGGTACGCAACGTGTGGATGTGGTTGGCTGACGCAAATACGACATTGTTAGCCCGAGCCAGCACTTTGTCCCACGGCAATCTACCGACATCCTCGCGTCTTATGACTACGTCGTTGTCGGTTCCGGGCCGGGTGGTGGCCCACTTGCCGCCCGGCTCGCCATCGCCGGGAAGAAGGTCCTGCTCATCGACGCCGGCGACGACCAGGGAAACTCGATCCCGTACCAGGTCCCTGCGTTAAACCTTCAGTCGACAGAGTACGCCCCAATGAAATGGGACTATTACGTCCAGCACTTCGCCGATCTCGAGGCCCAGAAGAAGGACTCCAAGATGACATACCGACAAGCGAACGGGGAGCTCTACGTCGGACTCAACCCACCGGCTGGCGCTGAGCCACTCGGCATCCTTTATCCCAGAGCTGGTACGCTGGGTGGTTGCGGCAGTCACAACGCGTTGATCACGGTCTACCCGCACAAGTCAGACTGGGATGGCATCGCGACCTTGACCGGAGACACCACCTGGGGCGCGTCCAACATGCGCAAGTACTTCCAGCGCCTAGAGAACGCTGAATACTTGCCCAATGGTATCGTAGGACACGGGTTCGACGGCTGGCTTACCACCTCCGTGACGGACCTGGGACTCGTTATCAAGGATATCAAGCTGCTTACAGTCATTCTGTCCGCCGCTTCCGCGATGGGCAAGAGTCTCCTTGGCTTGATCTTCTCGACAATCCAGGGTCTCGGCGAAGTTCTCCTCCGTGATCTCAACGTCGACCTGCCCAGCCGTGACTCCGCCGAGGGCCTCTACCAGGTCCCCATCTCCGTCAACAAGGGCGTCCGCAACGGACCGCGCGAGTTCGTCCTGGACACGGCCAACGCGAAGAACGCGGATGGTTCTAGAAAGTACCACCTCGACATCAAGCTCACCACACTCGTGACCAAGGTGCGCTTCGACCAGAGCGGCGCGAAGCCTCGGGCCGTGGGGGTAGACTTTGTCACGGGACAGAGCCTCTACCGCGCCGACCCCCGATCCGGCGATGTCGGCTCTGGCGTCGCCGGATCCGTAAACGCCACGGCCGAAGTCATCATATCAGCCGGCGCCTTCAATACCCCGCAGCTGCTCAAGCTCAGTGGCGTTGGACCCAAGGAGGAGCTATCCTCTTTCGGTATCCCTTCCATCGTCGATCTTCCTGGTGTTGGCACCAACCTGCAAGACCGTGAGTTTCTCATTTGCTGCTGATGAATTGATAATCCAATGTAGAGCCGTTTGACTGATCATCACCACAACAGGCTACGAAACGTCCGTTATTGGCGAAACGCCGACAGACTTTCAGATCATCGAAGGCTGCACCTTCATCCGCCCCGGCACAGACGATCCCTGCTTGAAAAAGTGGCAGGATGGCGCCGCGAGTGGTGACAGGGGCATTTATGGTTCCAACGGCATCAGCCTGGGTATCGTGAAGAAGTCGACAGTGGCAGAGGGAGATCCGGACCTCTTTATCGCAGGAGCGCCAGTCGCCTTCCCTGGCTACTATCCCGGATACTCCGTCGATGGCACCGCCGACCAGAGACATTGGACGTGGATCACCCTCAAAGCCCACAGCCGCAACCGGGCCGGAACCGTCAAGCTGCGTTCAGCCGACCCGCGGGATATGCCGCAGATTGACTTCAATTCGTTCCAGGACGAGGCAACGGGCGCTAAGGACATCCAGGCCGTGGTGGAGGGCATGAAGCTCTCGCGCAAGATGTTCGAGAGCGTCGTGCCCCTCACGGGAGGCTTCACCGAGGTCTGGCCCGGGAAGAATGTCACCGATGCGGACTTGCCCGAGTTCGTCAGGAATGAGGCCTGGGGCCACCATGCCAGCTGCACGTGCCCCATTGGCAAAGACGGCGATGCCACCGCCGTCTTGGACTCAAAGTTCAAGGTGAGAGGCACCGAGGGTCTGCGGGTGGTGGACGCGAGCGTGTTTCCCAAGATTCCTGGGTATTACATCGCGTCGGCGGTGTACATGATTAGCGAGAAGGCGGCGGATGTAATTCTTGGAGTATAGATACCTTCACGTTCTGTTTTCGCCTTCTTCTATTGTATTTGTTACACATGGCGGGCGGAAAAAGTACGCCGTAGGATTTTGAGGTGTGACCCCGAAGGGTCTATTCGACGTTTCCGTAAATACTTGGTACCTACTGCATACTTGACGTTTAAACATTCCATGAATCTACC